TTGGAAGAAGTTTCCTCAGATATTACGTTTTTTTGTATAGGTTTTGGCCACCACACTTTAAAGTTTATAATATCTTCTGTTTTTTACTTCTATGACTGTAAATTTATTCAACTTGCTGCTCATTGCAATCAATTCGGTTAGTTGATGAACCGTGGAGATTCTGTCATGTTTTTTTAGTTCTCTCTTCACACTAGCAAAGTCTCTATCGCAGGGAAGGAAAGAGTGGACCTCTTATAGGAAATAGTGTACGATTTTGGAAAACTGGCCACTATCTGTCAGTGCAAGAAGCATGCGAACCAAAGTGTGATTCTGATTTTGTCCACAGCAGTTGTCACTATATAAGTGGATCTCATTTCTACTATTTCTGGGAACATCCTTAAGGTAATCCAAAAGAAAAGAGCAAATCTCGTTGGCAGTTTTCTTCATGATATACCTATATATATATATATATATACAGGGTTATCCAATTAAGTGTCCACCATTAGTAACTTTGTTATTAGTGAAAATACAAAGTTGTTTGAATTAGCCAAACTAGTAGCATTTTTAACGCTGGTAAAAACGAGAAATAAAAAAAAACAATTGAGAGTCGTTATTTTGATTTTTTTCAGTAAAATAAATTTTTTTAAATGGAACCCCCTGTATATTATATTTTTTTCTGTTAAAGCATCAAATTTTAAACAAAAAAGCTTACAATAACTTTTCTCCTAGGTTACAAATTGTTGAAGTTATGGCCTCCAATCTGAAACAATTAAATTGTATCGACAAACTTATTTCAACATCAACTTATAATCTTACAAATACAATAACAATTTTTTTTAAAGAAGATGCTCGAAACACCACCTTGTTCTTCAATACATTTTTGGGCACGTTTTTCAACTGCTCGAACTGTCTTAAGTATGGTCCTACCATCTATCTGGGTTATCTTTTCCCTACCTGCAGTCTTTAACGCGTCAAGGTTATCGTACCTTCGCTTGTAAATTTGGTTCTTTAAGTAACCCCACAAGAAGTAATCAAGTGGGTTTAGATCTGGTGATCTGGGAGGCCACTGTATTGGGCCATTTGCTCCTATCCACTGATCATTAAAAGTAGTACTTAGAAAATGATAAGTACCTCTGGAGTTGTGGGCAGGTGCGCCATCTTGCTGAAAATGCAGATGATGTCTACTTATAAGATCCATTCGTCTAAGAAATAGTCAGAATTTCTGACATAAATTCCACATATCTTTCACCAGTTAGGGTTCCCTCATAAAAGAACGGGCCAACAATTTTTGAACCAATTATACCGCACCAAACGTTGAAACTGAAACGGACTTGTGGCCTCTTGGATGTACTAACAAAAGATTTTCTCTTGACCAATAATGGTGGTTTTTTCTATTAAACATTCCAGAATTTGAAAAATTTGATTCATCTGTCCATAAAAGGTAACGAAAGTTATTTACATTTTGGCGACAGAAGCTAAGATACCAATGGCAAAAAACAAGTCTTCTCTCTGGATCCCCTGCCAAAAGCGTTTGAACTGGTCGGTACTTATCCGGAATAAATTTGTATTTTTTTAAAATCCTTTGAACAGTACCATAACTGAAATTAGAGTCCTTGAGAATATCTGCTATTGAATTCTCACGATAAGCTTCAAAATATCCAATAACTGCAATTTCCGTGGCCTCGCTTATTATGAATTCTTTTTTTGCCCTTGTTTTAGCAAAAACATTTTCGTTGCCCCTAAATTTTCGATAAAGTCTCAGAA